CTCCTCCCCAGGGACCCTGTGGCATTCACATTCTCTGGAAAACTCCCTTCACTCAGGATTTTTCTGCTGGGAAGCCTCAGAGAAAAGGAAAACTATTCTTATCTCATTTGCTTCTCCTGTGGTTTGCTCATGTGGGATGTGTTTGGAGATTGTTTACCCACAGGTGATTGTTTCATTGGATTCTGGGTTTGGGGTTCCCCTGCACCCCCAGTGCTGGGTTTGAGGCTTCCCCTGTCCCCCTGCACCCCCAGATTCTGATTCTGGACCACCCCCAGGTGATTCTGCTGTGAGCTGTTTTGACTCTTTGGCCAATCAGGGCCAAGCTGTGTTGGCACTCTGGAGAGAGTCACAAGTTTTCATTATTAGATTCTTAGCATTCAGTAAGTATCTTTGCTGTGTTCTTTAGTACAGCATCCTTTAATATAATGTAGTATCATATAATATAAATGCTTCTCTGTGCTGCAGAGAACTCTGCACCCATTCTGATGTTATTTGTTCTCTGCAGCACTCAGATCCACCTTCCTCACAGCCAGAAAACTGAAAGCACTGTGTGCACAGCCACGGGTCTCACAGCTGGGGGAGCCCCAGTTTGAGACGCAGTGTCAGTGTGTCTGCGACGGGAGAAGGCTGTCTGTCTGTCCTTGTGGGGACAGCCCAGGGCAGTGTCAGTGTGTCTGTGACGGGAGAAGGCTGTCTGTCTGTCCTTGTGGGGACAGCCCAGGGCAGTGTCAGTGTGTCTGTGACAGTGTCAGGCTGTCTGTCTGTCCTTGTGGGGACAGCCCAGAGCAGTGTCAGTGTGTCTGTGACAGTGTCAGGCTGTCTGTCTGTCCTTGTGGGGACAGCCCAGGGCAGGGGCAGTGTCAGTGTCAGTGTGTCTGTGACAGTGTCAGGCTGTCTGTCTGTCCTTGTGGGGACAGCCCAGGGCAGGGGCAGTGTCAGTGTCAGTGTGTCTGTGACAGTGTCAGGCTGTCTGTCTGTCCTTGTGGGGACAGCCCGGAGCAGGGGCAGTGTCAGTGTCAGTGTGTCTGTGACAGTGTCAGGCTGTCTGTCTGTCCTTGTGGGGACAGCCCAGAGCAGTGTCAGTGTGTCTGTGACGGGAGAAGGCTGTCTGTCTGTCCTTGTGGGGACAGCCCAGAGCAGTGTCAGTGTGTCTGTGACGGGAGAAGGCTGTCTGTCTGTCCTTGTGGGGACAGCCCAGGGCAGGGGCAGTGTCAGTGTCAGTGTGTCTGTGACACGGTGACGGTGTGTCTGTCCCCGGAGCCACTTTTGCTCCCCATCCCCATCCCCAGCGCCCCAGGGCAGCAGCACACTCACCGTGGGGGTGCTGGCTCAGCACGGGGTCGCTCCTGGGTGCCTGCAGTTTGTAGTTGAGGTACCCAGCCAGGTCCTTCACCCACACCGAGGGGTTCTCGGGGAACACGCTGCGGCTCTTGTGCAGCTCCCTCTGCAGCTCCGCCAGGTCCAGCTGCCAGGGACGGACAGACAGACAGACAGACAGACAGGCTCAGCCGGGGTGAGCGGGACCGGGCAAACAGCACAGGGAGGAGACAGCTCACTCTGTGTCCCAAGGGGCATGGAGGGAATGCTTCCAGCTCCACCCACATGGAACACCCTGGAGCTGCGTGGCCTGGGGCAGCTGGCCCTGCCCAGGGAGCCCATCGCCCCAACCATGGCCAGCAGAGACCTGGGCATCCCACCTGGTGAGAGGAACTCCACACAAACCAGCTGGTGCCACACAGGGAATGACGCCTGTCCCATCAGTGAGGTGACAGAGGCTGTCCCCTGAGCTCTGGCTGCCCTGCCTCCCCAGGGAGCACGGGAATGCCACCCAGTTCTGTCACTGTGGGCAAAACTGGATGTGCAGGGATCCTGGAACCATGCAGAGAACCCCACCCAGGGCAGGGGGATGCAGAGGGAACCCCCTCGTTTGGGGCAGTGGAGGTCCCAGGGCATGAAGGGGATGAGGAGGAGCTGAGCCAGCAGTGCCTGCCAGCCCAGGGACACATCACCCCAACCCAGCCTGACTCGGCCAGTTCTGGAACCCTCCGTGCCCAGACACGACCAGGACAGGCAGGACAGACAGACAGACAGGCAGGACAGACAGACAGACAGGTTCTGCAGAGCCAGCCAGGGCACAGCAACTGCACCAGCGACTCCCAGGGCCCCACCAGTGCCACGGGGAGGAGGTTCAGCCATCAGAGGCTTCCTTGGGGATCCTCCCAGACACGGCAGTGAGGAGGGGAACGAGAGACCCCCTTCAGCCATGGGGAGCCAGAGATCCCCTTCAGCCATGTCCCACCATCCAAGGGGAACCACAGATCCCCTTCAGCCATGTCCCATCGCTCAGGGGAACCAGAGATCCCCTTCAGCCATGTCCCATCGCTCAGGGGAACCAGAGATCCCCTTCAGCCATGTCCCACCGCTCAGGGGAACCAGAGATCCCGTTCAGCCATGTCCCACTGCTCAGGGGAGCCAGAGATCCTGTTCCAGCCATGTCCCACCACTCAGGGGAACCAGAGATCCCCTTCAGCCATGTCCCATCGCTCAGGGGAACCAGAGATCCCGTTCAGCCATGTCCCACTGCTCAGGGGAGCCAGAGATCCTGTTCCAGCCATGTCCCACCGCTCAGGGGAACCAGAGATCCCCTTCAGCCATGTCCCACCGCTCAGGGGAACCAGAGATCCCGTTCAGCCATGTCCCCCTGCTCAGGGGAACCAGAGATCCCCTTCAGCCATGTCCCACCACTCAGGGGAACCAGAGATCCCCTTCAGCCATGTCCCACTGCTCAGGGGAACCAGAGATCCTGTCCCAGCCATGTCCCACCATCCAAGGGGAACCAGAGATCCCATTCCAGCCATGTCCCACCGCTCAGGGGAACCAGAGATCCTGTCCCAGCCATGTCCCACCATCCAAGGGGAACCAGAGATCCCATTCCAGCCATGTCCCACCGCTCAGGGGAACCAGAGATCCTGTCCCAGCCATGTCCCACCGCTCAGGGGAACCAGAGATCCCGTTCCGGCCTCGTCCCGCCGCTCGGGGCAGCTCCTGCCGCGGGGGATCAGCCCGCAGGTGAGGCTGGAGCTGCTCGGCACGGCCCCGGTCCCGGTGCCCGGCCCGGGCTCACTCACGGCTTTCAGGGCTTCCTCCAGCGAGCGGCTCCGGCCCGGGGCCGCTCCCCCGTCGCTGCCCGGTGCCTTCCTGCCGCTCTTGCCGCCGTGCTGCTTCCGCTGCGGCGGCTCGGGGGCCGCGGCCGGGGGCACCTGCTCCTTGTTCTGCTTGCGCAGCGCCCGCTCGAAGCCCAGCTGGAAGATGGTGCTGGAGGTGGCGATGGGAGCTGCGGAGGGGACACGGGGACGGGGACGCGGTCACGGGAGCGCCGCGGGCAGCGGCGACACGAGGCCACGGCGATGGAACCGGGGCACCGGAGCGAACGGCGGCTCCCGGCCGGAGCGGGGCCCCGGGGTTGTGCACAGCACCCGCACGGACCGCATTTTCCCCCCCGGGCTCCGCCGCCAGGCTCGGGGAGCCCGCCCGGCCCCGGCCGCCGCTCCGGTACCGGCGGGATCCCCGGAGAGCCCCACAGCTACACCCGCCTCTCCCCGGGACCCGCCGGGGACCCCCGGCCGCGCCACGCGAGGCCCCCGGTGCCCCACACAGAGCGCCCCCGGACCCACGGGACCCCCGCCCGCCGCGCCGGGGCCCGCGGGCGCTGACACTCACCGGGCACGGGCAGAGCGCGACCGGCGTTGGCCTCTCCCAGGGCACGGCGGCTGCCGGCGCCGCCCGCGGGCCCCCGGCGGCCCTTGCGCACCACCTCCCAGCGGCCGGGAGCGGCGCCGGCCGTGCCGGTGCCCAGGGCCGCTTTCGCCGCCGCCATCGAGACCCGGAGCGCCACGGGCGGCGCCGGGCCGGGGCCAGGGCGCGTGCGCGCGCGGCTGCCGCCGATTGGCTGCGCCCTGGGATACGCGCCGCTTGTGCCGGCTGCCACGTCCCCGCCCCGCCTCGCCGGGGAACGTGACAGAGCGGACATGGCCCCGCCCACCGAGGGGCGGGATCAGCACAGGACACCGCCTCCTCTGAGACCCCGCCCGCTGAACGGCCACTATGGCGTGAAAGAGGCGGGGCTTGAGGGGAGCTACTCTGGTGACGTTTACAAAGTGGGCGGAGTCAGAGGGGGGCGTATCCATTGGGTTCGCGCCACAGCCTGCGCAACCGCCCCGACATGGCGGGGGCGGAGCCTCGCGAGCGGCTGAGGGCGTGTCTATGCAGATTTGTCCTGCCGCGCGGCATGCCGGGCCCGATCCCGCGCCAAGCCCGCGCTGTCCCGGCGCGTCCGCGGGCTCGGCGCGGGCCGGGCCGTGCCGGGCCGTGCGGGCCGGGCCGCAGCGCGGCAGGGCCGGGCGGGGCCGGGGCCGGGCCGGGGCGGGCGTGTGCTGGGCGGGCGTGCGGCGGGCGGGGCAGGCGGGCGGCGGGGCGAGTCGGGCATACTTACCTGGCAGGGGAGACACCATGATCAGGCAGGTGGTTTTCCCAGGGCGAGGCTCATCCCTTGCACTCCGGGTGTGCTGACCCCTGCGATTTCCCCAAATGCGGGAAACTCGACTGCATAATTTGTGGTAGTGGGGGACTGCGTTCGCGCTCTCCCCTGATATTCCCCGTTAAAGACAGATTTAAAGGTTTCAGTATTACCCGTTTGGCCCTGTAACCGTTCTCTACCCATTCAGGGATCAGGCTATGGCCCCGTCCTCGGTCGGGTGGCTTCTAAAGCCGAGCCCTTCCTGCACCGACACAGCCGCGCTCGCTGCTGGCGGAGGCTGGAGCCCTGGCGCTGAATTGGGACAGAGCAGCCGATGGGGCTGCAACGGCCTGTCAGGTTATGATTTTAGAAATTTAAGATTCTAAGTGAGGATTAGAACCAATTCAAATTGAAGTTAAATATGCTTAACAGTATTTAACGATTATTAGGTGCTTAAACTAAAGCTAATTGTTATATTATGAGTTTATTTACAGATGGAAGTGGAGCACGTGAACCGGTACAGGAACATACTGAAAGCAGCAGAACAACGCCCAGCACCTGGACTCTGTGTCAATCCTTCGTGAAGCAGGGGCCTTGGATCGTGCCAGAGGGTCACAGAGACCTGATGAAGACATTCCTGACTTCATCGCCGGGGCCACCGACACAATTCGAGACCACTGACCCAATTCAAGAGAAGAACTGCGCACGCGTGAAGGATTAATAACCTCATTTTAATACAGCGCGGGGATGGGAGGTGCTGGTGTTGTGCATATGTATTATTTTGGAAAAGAAAGCGAAGGCAAAAATCCTTGTGTGGTGCGGTCACGCATTTTGGGGATGAGCCCCATCGTGCCCGCTGGTGTTATACACACACCGCTTTCTAACTTTAACTAGAGAGTCTTTGTCCGCGATTTTCGGTTTTAATAATTCACTGTGGCACCGTGGATGCAACTGCTGAGTGGCCCGGAGGGCAGAGAGGCTCGGGGGCAGCCGGGGACGGGCGGCCGGGGGAGCACACTGCCCGCAGGAACCGGCCAGCGGATCCCTAACGGGAGGCTCGGGGGGGCCGCCTCGGGGACGGGATGATCCCGGGCTGTCCCCGCCGTGACTGCGGGAACAGGGAAACACCGCGGGGAAAGGGGCGAGGTGCCGGTGCCGCCCGGTGGGCGCTGCCGGGGCACTGTGGGCTCATGCAGCGACACAGACAGCGCAGCGGCGTGCGGGGGAGCGCCGAGAGCGAACGTGCCGAGGGCAGCGCTGATGGCCCTGAATCCTGCGGGGATCCATGCGAACATGAACTCCGGGGTGAGTGAGCAGAGCGAGCACAGGACGGGCTGGTGAAATCTCGCGATGGCTCAGTGATGAACGGTGCCCTGGATACGTTAAATCTGTTTTTGACCGGGAACGCCAGGGGAGAGCGCGAACGCAGTCCCCCACTACCACAAATTATGCAGTCGAGTTTCCCGCATTTGGGGAAATCGCAGGGGTCAGCACACCCGGAGTGCAAGGGATGAGCCTCGCCCTGGGAAAACCACCTGCCTGATCATGGTGTCTCCCCTGCCAGGTAAGTATGCCCGACTCGCCCCGCCGCCCGCCTGCCCCGCCCGCCGCCCGCCCGCCCAGCACACGCCCGCCCCGGCCCGGCCCCGGCCCCGCCCGGCCCTGCCGCGCTGCGGCCCGGCCCGCACGGCCCGGCACGGCCCGGCCCGCGCCGAGCCCGCGGACGCGCCGGGACAGCGCGGGCTTGGCGCGGGATCGGGCCCGGCATGCCGCGCGGCGGGCACAAATCTGCATAGACGCGCCCACAACTCCCCGCTGGCCCCGCCCCCTGCGGCCCGGCCCCGCCGGGAGCCCCGAGAGCCGCGGAGCCGCTGCCCCGGGCCGGGCCGGTTTGGGCCGCGCTCCGCTCCCGCCGCTGCCGGGGCTCGGGCCGCCTCTCCCGCTGCCGGAGCTCCCTCTCCCCGGCACTGCCCGGTGCTGCCGCGCCCCTCCCGGTGCCCCCGCTCCGCTCCGCCCGCTCCTCCCGGGGCTCTCTGCTCCCTCGGGCACGATCGGCCGGGCCAGCGGCGTTCGGGGTGCGAAAAATGCGGAGTTTATGGTTGGCTTTTCGCAAATATTAAAATTAATATTATCTGTGTTATTTTAGAAAGTTATGCTGTATTGATTTTCTTAAGTAGTGTGTTAAATATATTTTTAGGTTATAAATAAGGTTAAAATAGAAACTATGCTATGTGAGATACTTGTTTTACAGAAAGGACTCGCAGCAATAACCCAAACTGCACAAAGAGCCTTTTCACACTGCAGCCCTCGCTGGGGCTCTCATCCCATCGGGGCTGGGCTCTCCTCACCCCCTGCACTCCCGGCCTCAGCTCAGCTTTTGGGGACTCTCATTTCCCTCTCACCCCAGGGTCCCCAAAGCCCAAACTGGAGCTGTGAGGGCACCCAAATGTGGGAATGGGCTCTCTGTTGAGGGAGGGATTAAACCATTCTGTGTCTGTTTAAAAAGGCAAAAAGCCCATAAGTTTCTCTTCCCACTTTGGTAAAAAAACACATCACAGGACCTTTAGGATCTCACCTCAAACCTAAGGTTATCTAATTAGATACAGGCTAAAAAATTTCAAGTAACTCCCTAGAGAAAGAAGAGAACAAAGGAAATAATTGCTTTTGTGGGGTGTTTTAGTAGGAGTAAGAGCCTCTTGCCCCTGGCTCGGTTTTTCTCTGTAAGAGCTTTGTTATTTTGCCCTTTATTAAACCTTTTCCTGTTTCCAACAGTACCTCAGAAGCCATCCTGCTGATTTTATGCCATTCGGGGTAGCTGAGCTATCTCAAGTGCAATAAGTTCTCCAGGAGCTCCTGAGACCTCGCTCAAAGAGAAACCCAAAAACTTCCCTGGGTGAATGGGCAGAGCTGCACTTTCCATCCATTTCCAGGGGAATGTGCAAACAGAGTCCTTTGGGAAAGTTAATTGTGCATTTACTTTGGGAAAGTTAATTGTGCATTTACTTTGGAAAGGTTAATTGTGCATTTTGCACAGCAAACCCTGCCCCAGCAGTGGCAAAGGGCACTCGGGCACGTGGGGAAAGCGATGGGGTCATTTTGTGTTCCAAGTCCTGAATGCCATGGGATGTCCGAGGGATTTCCTGCCCTGAGGATTTCCTGCCCCGAGAGATTTCCTGCCCTGAGGATTTCCTTATCTGAGGATTTCCTGCCCTGAGGATTTCCTCCCGCTGCAGGAACAACACCAATGCCCTGTTACTCCACGGTCCCTCACAGCCAGTAACTACAGACCAGGATATTCCAGTGCCCACTATAAAATCCAGGGCTCCATTCCCGGCTCGAGTGGCCCCAAAGGGTTCAGGGAGACAGGAGCTGCCTGTGGCTCCCTCCGGCCCAGCCCAGCTCCTTCCTCTCCTGCTCTTCCCTCGTGTCTGTGCCCAGCCCCTGCTCAGGGCTCGCCTTCTGCCTGTGTGCTGCCCTGGCACAGATTTGGGCATTTCTGCCCCTGGTACAGATTTGGTCATTCCTGTCCTGGCACAGATTTGGTCATTTCTGTCCTGGCACAGATTTGGTCATTCCTGTCCCTGGCACAGATTTGGGCATTCCTGCCCTGGCACAGATTTGGGCATTGCTGCCCCTGGCACAGATTTGGTAATTTCTGCCCCTGGCACAGATTTGGTCATTCCTGCCCTGGCACAGATTTGGGCATTGCTGCCCCTGGCACAGATTTGGTAATTTCTGCCCGTGGCACAGATTTGGGCATTCCTGCCCTGGCACAGATTTAGGCATTTCTGCCCCTGGCACAGATTTGGTCATTCCTGCCCTTGACACAGATTTGGTCATTTCTGTCCCGGCACAGATTTGGTCATTTTTCGTGTCTCTTCTCCTCCCCTGGCGCTCCCTCCCGTGTCCTGGGCACCCCCTGGGCACTGCCCATCCTCTGTGCCCCCCGTGTCCTTCCCGGAGATCCCATCCCAGAGCGGGCACCGAGTGCGAGCAGCGCCAAGTGAGAGACAGCGCCGTGTGAGAGAGACAGCGCCGTGAGAGAGAGACAGCGCCGCGCCTGCTGCCCGTGCCGGGTCTGGGTCCCTTCGGGGACTGGTTCCGTTCGGGATCTGGCTCCGTTCCGGGTCCGGTTCCGTTCCGGGTCCGGTTCCGTTCGAGAGGGTCCGGACGCGCCCGGGCCGGGCGGGGGTCGCTCCGCCGCGCCGCCAGGGGGCGCCAACACGAGGGCGAGACACGAGGCGGGTTGTGGAGGGGGCGTGGCCATGCGAATCACAGCGGGGCAGAGGGCGGTGCCATGGATGCGGGAGGCTGGGGGCGTGTCCATGCAAATGAGATCCCCGCCGCGCGGCATGCCGGGCCCGATCCCGCGCCAAGCCCGCGCTGTCCCGGCGCGTCCGCGGGCTCGGCGCGGGCCGGGCCGTGCCGGGCCGTGCGGGCCGGGCCGCAGCGCGGCAGGGCCGGGCGGGGCCGGGGCCGGGCCGGGGCGGGCGTGTGCTGGGCGGGCGTGCGGCGGGCGGGGCAGGCGGGCGGCGGGGCGAGTCGGGCATACTTACCTGGCAGGGGAGACACCATGATCAGGCAGGTGGTTTTCCCAGGGCGAGGCTCATCCCTTGCACTCCGGGTGTGCTGACCCCTGCGATTTCCCCAAATGCGGGAAACTCGACTGCATAATTTGTGGTAGTGGGGGACTGCGTTCGCGCTCTCCCCTGGTCGTGCGGTTCAAGAACAGAAAGAACTCCCAGACGTTCTCTACAAAGACCCTTATGCCGCCTTGGTCCGGAGCGGCGTTGGTCCTTCCCAGCCCCGTTCCTGCCCCAATAAATGCCGCCCCGCTCCGTCCCGCACCCCGCAGAACCCCACCCGGGCCGAGGCAGGAGGTGCCAGGGTCGCTCCGCCCTTTTACAGCCCAAATTAACCTCTAATAAACCTGGTTATCCAATGTCTCATCCCGGCCCTCCTCACCCGCTGCGGTCCCAGAGCCTCTCCCGGTGCGCTCCCGCTTCCCCCGTCCAGCCGCGGGTCTGTCAGCACGGAGGAAGCCCCGGGACAGGCAGCGAGCGCAGGACCCCGCGGTGACCCGCGGCACGCAGTGTTACCACACGAGTTTATTTAAATAAAACCGAACACAGATGCAGCGTTGCGACCGGAGTGATGGACCAGACAAGCGATGCGACGGGGACATGGCAGCTGGGGCGGGCGGGCGTGCGAGCCCTGGCGGTGACCCAGCCCAGCCCCGGCTCCCGGGGGCCGCCGGCGAGAGGAGAGGGCGCGCTGCCGTTCCGTGCCGTGCCGTGCCGTGCCGAGCACGGCCCCCTCTCCGGGACCCCCGTGGCCGCCATGGCCGCGCTGGGCTGGGCTCTCCCTTTCACCTTCGCAGGAAGCTGAACCCGCTTCTCTCTCCTCTGCCGCGCGGCCTCCCGCTCCAGCAGGCCGGCACTCGCTGTGCCGCGGGGGTCCCGGGGCCCTGAGGGTCCCAGCGAGGTGAGCAGCCCCCAGGACCAGGCCTCCCTCCTCACTCTCACCGGGGCGGGACGCGGCGCTCGCTCGCACCGGGGGGACAACAGAAATAAATACGGGGAGGGGGTGGCTGGGCAGGCCCCGGCCGGGGCCAGAGCCCGTCCCCAGCCCCGGCCCCGGCGCAGCCGCGCTCCTCGCCCGGGGATGGCGGCTGCCGATGGAGATGGTGCTTCCCCAGCCCGGAGCTGCCCGCGGCGTGTGCCGGGCGGGGCGCGGGCTCGGAGCTCGATGTCTGTGCTGGGGGCGGCGCGGGGGGCGCAGGGGGCGCGGGCCGGGGCTAGTACTCGTCCTGCTCCTCTGGCGGCTGCTCCTCCAGCTCGTCATCCTCCGGCGGGGCAAAGCCCTCCTGGGGGGAACGGGGGCGGCACGGGTGGGCACAGGAGCCCCCACCTGGCGTGGCAAAGCCCCGGCGGCCCACGGAGCGAACAGGGACAGCCCGGGGGAAGGGAGTCCCTCCCTGCCCAGGGAATTGCAGGGAGCAGAGCAGGGACGCGGGCTCCAGCCCGGCCCTCACCTCCGTGGCATAGAGCACGCTGACGATGCCGGTGATGATGGGGCTGTTCTCGTTCTCGTGCTCCTGGCAGATGAGCTCGATGTCCCGCAGTTTGCTGAAGTAGAAATCCCGCTCCTTCTCCAGCCCGTCCACTGTCAGCTTCAGGTCCATCAGCTGTGGGACAGGCAGATGTTCAAAACCTCCAGCCCCCATCTCCACGGTGCCCCCCAGCCCTGGCAGGGACCCCTGCCTGTAGCAGACCCCATGGAGCTGGCAAGAGCTCCATGGAGGATTGAGACTTAACAGCAGGAACCGCTGAGTCGTGATGAGACAGCAAAATTAGCTCCTGTCTTCCACCCCTCACCCCATAGCTCATCTCTGTAACCCCACAGGCCACTTTTCCCTGACCCTTACTATTGGACAAGTTTGGATCCCCCTACACCCTATGAAAGGGGCTGTTTTAGCCCATTCGACAGAAGAAGAGCTGTCACTGGAACCCTTCACAGACTCCCCAATAAACCATCGCTGTGGAACCACCAGGACCTCTCCTTCTCCTCTCTCTCGTCTGCTTCTGCCCCAGCCAAAGGCGCCCTAGCGAGCTAGCAAAGAGCTGGAATGCTAAGAGAGCTGAGAGTCAGTAAAGAGCTGGAATACTGAGAGCTGAGAATCACTAAAGAGCTGGAATCCTAAGAGAGCTGAGAGTCAGTAAAGAGCTGGAATCACTGAGCTTGCTAAGGGTGGCAGTGGCTGTGAGCTGCCTGGGTATTGGGGCACTCTGTGCCAGAGGGACTGAGCCATCCAGAATGGCCTGGCTCGGGGACAAGCCCAGCTCTGGCTCCTCACCCACCTGCTGGTTGAGCTCCAGGATCTGCGCGTCGGCCTCGGTGCCGCCGTTGCGGGCGGCGGGCGAGTTTTTCCGCAGGATGCCGCTGGGCACGGTGCCGAGGCGGGCGGGGTTCGGGCTGTTCTTGGGGCCCGTGGGCGAGGTCCTCTGGGGCACTTGACGGCACACGGGGACCGATGGGTTAATGCTGGCTGGGGGGCTGCCGCGGGGACCGCCCCCCGCGCATTGAGTGGGGGGCAGCGGCCGGGGCGGGCGGATCCCCTGTGCGGAGCCACGGCCCCGAGCTCCACCTTCGGCCTCCCCCCTGCCTCAGTTTCCCCTGGTAAACCTCACCCCCACCCTCCAAGGGTGCTCGTGGCTCGTTCGGGGGTCGGCATGGGGCCTGAGGAGACCCCGAACCTTGACAGCCCCCACTGGGCCAGCACAGGGAGTCCCCGGTGCCCACGGGAGCTGCATGGCACGGGGGGGATGGCAGCCAGGGGTGGCAAACCGGCCCAGGCCGGCCTGAGCAGGCAGGTGGAGCAGGCAGGACCCCTGTGCTGTGCAGTCTGGGTGTCCCTGCAGCCCCCCGTGGCCGGCAGGGCAGGGCAGGGGCAGGGCAGGGGCAGGGCAGGGCAGGGCAGGGGCAGGACAGGGCAGGGATAGGGCATGGCAGGGCAGGGCAGGGGCAGGACAGGGCAGGGCAGGGCAGGGAAGGGACAGGACAGGGCAGAACAGGGCAGAACAGCGCAGCAGCAGAGCAGGCACAGGCACAGGCAGGGGCAGGGGCAGGGGGACGCCCGGCCGTGACCAGGGGTACAGAGGGCGGGGGGCAGCGCTCGCTGGGGGACAGCCCCGGACATTACCTGCGGTGCCAATGGGTTTCTTGGGTTTGTTGTAGATGTGATCACCTGGGTTAGGGGGGGGCGCCGCGTCCTGGCCCTGCCGTGCCAGCAGAGGGTTGTACTCCTTCCCGTCGTAGTTGGCGTCAAAGAACTTCTTGAACCACTGGATGAACTCGAAATTGTCCTGGAACTTGCCCTTCACCAGCCGCTCCACGGCAATGATCTGGGGGCACACCGGGGCTCAGCGGGGACCCTGGCACGGGGGTGCCAGCCTCCCGCGGCGCGCCCGCCCCCGCCGCCCCCGTGCACCTACTTTGTCCACTCCCATCTTCTTGAAGGCGGCCTGCAGCACCTTGAAGTTGTGGATGTACTCGTGCTCCAGCTTGGCCTGGAACTTCACCTTGCGCAGGTGCACGCAGCCGGGGAACAGCATGTCCATGAACTGGCAATAGGCGGCCCCTGCGCCGGGCCCAGCCGCGGTCACGGGGGGCCGGGGGCGCCCCGGCGGCGCCCCCCGCATCCCCCGCGAGCCCACCTGAGCACAGCTGCTCGATCTTGGTGTAGTTGAGCTGCAGGGAGTCGTTGACCCAGGCCAGCATGTCGTGGCGGCTCAGGTTCTCGCTGGTCACCGACGTGGAGTACACATTGACGGCCATGCCCCAGCTGCCAAGAGATGGGGGTCACACGGGCACCCCGGGCACCCAGCCCTGCAACAGTGGCACTGGGACCCGGGGTGCCAATCCCACCCAGACTCCAGCACTGGGGGCACTGGGACCCAGGGCATCCGTCCCACACCAGGGGCACTGGGATCTGGGGTGCCCATCCCAACTGTGCTCCAACAGCAGGGGCACGGGGACCTGGGGCATCCATCCCACCCAGACTCCAGCACAGGGGGCAGGGGTCCCAGGACACGGGCACTGCCGAGGGGATGCCAGCCCTGCCGGGGGCACTGCCCAGGGGATGCCAGCCCTGCCGGGGGCTCTGCCAAGGGGATGCCAGCCCTGCCGGGGGCCCTGCCGAGGGGATGCCAGCCCTGCCGGGGGCAGTGCCCTGGCTGAGCCCAGGGGCTCCGGGGGCTGCTGCCCTTAAGCCGCTTAGGGCCCCCCTCTCGGGCCCCCGGTGCCGCCTAATCTGCCGGGGCCGGGCCGGGATCGGGGTCCATTAGAGCCGGGCTTACAGGGGCAACATCTGCCGGCCGCGGCCTCCGCCCAGATGGCCGGGGGCTGCGGGACCCCCCGGCTGCGGTGCCAGCCCGGCAGGGCACGGGGGGCACACGGAGCCCACCGTCACTGCCCTGCACAGCCGCTCCGGTGCGGCCCCGAGCAGCGGCCCCTTCCCGGAGCGGGGGTCCCGGTGCTCCCGGTGCTCCCGGGGCCCCCCCGGGCGGCAGCGGCGGCAGCGGCGCCGTTAATCCGCTTCCCTCCCGGCGAGGAGGGGCCGCGGGCCGGGCCAGCTGCCAGGCGGGGGCAGGGGCAGGGGGGGTGCAGCCCCCAGACCCCCCTGCAGTGCCGCATGCCGGGGGATGAGGGGACACAGCAGCAGCAGCAGCAGCAGCAGCAGCAGCAGCAGCAGCAGCATGGCACATCTGCGCCCTGGGGCTGCGGGGCGCTGCCACCCCTGGGCGCTGCCACCCCCGGGCCCGTTGGGGGCGGAAGGTGCTGGTGGCCGCAGCG